GGGGGTGGGGGCGAGCTGCTCAGAGACCCAGGTGCAGCTGGCCATGCACACCTAGGAGATGGTGGAGGGGCAGCTGGGGATGGGGCAGCTCAGGCTCTGGCAGTGCGATGTTTCCACAGGGGTACAGACAGGCGTCACTCACCCCAGACCTTGATTGCGTCTTGTTTTCTCTGCCCTTTTGCTTATTTATTTGGCTGCAGAAACCGTCCATTTTTACATAGAGATTTCTAATCATCTTTTTGATCAGCTTTAGGAAGAGTCCTACAATTTGTGTCCTGTTTCCTCTCAAGTAAGCTTCACTCAGAGCTCACACGGTGGCCGGAGCCATGAGGCACGTTGTGTGACATCTCTGAATGCCCTTCCCCACCTCCCCAGACAAACGACAGTGATTTCTTAAAAACCTGAAGTAATGTGTTTTCAGGAAAGAATACTCTAGAAGGAGACCTTAACGCTTGTATTTGGGATTGTGATGCCCCAGCTGCTGCATCTTTAGAGTAAGCAGCCTGTTTCCTGAAATATTGTGTTTGATCAGTTGTCTTTTTATTTTATTTTAAATATGTCTTTATTGATTTCAGAGAGAGGAAGGGAGAGGGAGAGGTAGAAACATCAATGATGAGAGAGTCATTAATCGGCTGCAGCCCGCAACCTGGGCATGTGCCCTGACCGGGAATTGAACCCTGATCTCCTGGATCCTAGGTCGATGAGCCACGCCCGGCCGGGCTGATCAGTTCCTCGAGTCAGGTTTTCTCTTTGATGCAAAATGAGCTTGAGGTTGTGGCCTACCTCGCACGGAGGTACCATGGCTCCTCCCTGGCGGGCTGTGACTTGGGGAGCAAGCGCGGCCGTCTGCCTCCCTGACCGCAGTGCCCTCTCCCTCCCAGCTCGTACCATAGCAAAGCACTAGAGGAATCTTGTTTTCATTTTTTTTGTTGTTCTGTGTAAGATCTGCGTTCCTCAGGTTTTTAAGTTAGGACTTGGTCTCACATGTCCTCACCCCTAGTGCACTGCGTTTCGCAGCTCTGTCATGGTGCTGCTGACCTGTGGTTTTTCCTGAGCAGGATTTGTTTGGTTGAGGTCTCAAGAGGACCCTCAAAGCTTTGGCACGGAGGCCTCGCCTTAGCAGAGCTTTGATGACGGAAGGCTTGGCAGAGGCTTGGGCAGTGGGACTGGTGGGCTGGTGCTGGGCTGTGACTCCAGCTGTTTGCATTCATGTTAAATGCAACGTGTGAGATCCTCTGTGCAGGTGGATAAACACATTCGGAGGCTTGATGCGGACCTGGCGCGCTTTGAAGCAGACCTGAAGGACAAGCTGGAGGGCAGCGACTTTGAGAGCTCTGCAGGACGGGGGCTAAAAAGCAAGTCTCGTTTCTCGTTATTCCGTTACTTTCAACTACGGTGACTTGAAGAATTGTCTGATAAGTGTTAGGAACCTGGTGGTGAAGATCACATTTGGGTGCATCGTGTCCTGCTCTAGTGAATTCTGTGACAGTAGTTGGGTCTTCGTTGTCTTTCAGAAGGTCGAAGCCAGAAGGAGAAGAGGAGCTCCCGGGGGCGAGGCAGGAGGACCTCAGAAGAAGACACTCCGAAGAAAAAGAAGCACAAAGGAGGGTGAGACGCCTTTTTCTTTCTCTTTTTCCTCAAAGAGCAGGGTAGCAGCCGCCCTGGAGGAAGCGCTTACACGCCCAGCGTGGCTGTGGCTCGAGGGCTTTTCCCGTCAGTCCTCAGTCATCGATGCACCCGGGGTGAGCGGCAGGGTAGGCGATGGCTCCAGGGAGGGCCCCTGCTCCTGCCCGCCTGCCCGCGTGCGGGAGCATCGGCCTGGCACCACAGCCCCTTCTCTGAGCGTGCGCCTGCCTCTCGAGAGATGTAACTATTCACAGTTGGGGCTAAGCCGCCCTTCAGCAGCTGCCTGTGTATCAGTTGATCGTTTCATATGTAAATGTCGTTTTGTATATGGTCACTGTTGTGTGGTTGCATTTATTAAACACACGTCATTTCACTTGACCTTGAGGATGTTTCATGTAAAGCCTCCCACCTGACCCCCTTCCCCGTGCTGGAGCGTCGCTTCTCAGAAGTGATATTTAGACTAAAGAGAAAATGATAAAATGTCAGCTGGCTTCTGTGGAGACGAATTTGACAGTTTTGGGGCGAGGTCAGAAGAGTTAGGTCTTGACAAAAAATGGAAAAGTTTTGGTTATTAAACCTGCCGTTTAAACTTTTACCATTTATTTATTTATTTTAAAAAATATATCTTTATTGATTTCAAAGAGAGGAAAGGAGAGGGAGAGAGAGAGATAGAAACATCAATGATGAGAGAGTCATTGATCGAGCCCGCAACCCAGGCGTGTGCCCTCACCGGGAATCGAACCCCAATCGCCTGGATCCCAGGTCAATACTCAACTGCTGAGCCATGTCCAGCCGGGCAACTTTTACCTTTTAAAAACACCAAGATGCCAGCCTTTGCGTTGTAAAGCACTACAAGGATGCAGAACACGACACAGAACTTGTAGTTGAATGAACTGCGGTGAGAGGCGCGTCCTTGTAACCGGGGCCTCGTGGTGACCCACAGCTGCAGGAGCCCTTCGACAAGCCTGTTGGTGCCATGACCCCCTCCGTCTGCCCCGGAGCAGCACGACCCAACGCTTACATAGCATGTGGCCACTCGTTCTTTCTAGTTTTGTCTCCCACGAGTGCACTCCTGGATGCTAACCTTTGAGTTGGACTTTATTAAGGAATGACTTACACGCAGTAAGATGTCCCCATGTTAAGTACACCGGTTGATGCTGCCTCCAGTTTCTTAAGGTTATGGAACCATTTGGGCTTTCCATTTCTTCTTGAGTCAGTTTTGGTAATGTGTCTACAAAGATTTGTTGTTTCGTGTAAGTTTCCTGATTTGTTGACATCAGATTGTTTATAGCATCACGTGATCCTCTTGACGTAGGATTTGTACAGATGACCACTCTTTCAGACCTGACACGGGTCATTTATGTCTTCTCTCGCTTTGTCTTGATTGTCTCAGAGAACTAGCGTTTGGTTTCATTGATTTTTTTTTCCCCCCCGTTTTCTGTTGCATTTATTTCTGCTCTTATTTTTACTATTTCCTTCCTCCCTCTTTACTTGGATTTACTTTGCTTTTTCTTTTCGCTTTTTAAGAAGTAATTTAGATCATTGATTTTCATACCTTTCTTTTCTGACAAGCATTTAAAGCTATAAGTTTTCATCTAATTTTGGTTTTAGCTACATCCCACAAATTTTGATATATATATATTTTTTATTCCATTCAAAATATTTTGAAATTTTCTTGGTAGTTTTTCTTTGACCCATAGTTTATGTATAAGTAGGTTTCTCAGTTTCAAAGTAATCTTGGGTTTTCCATGTAACTTTATGTTTTCAATTTCTATTTTAGTTTCGTTGTGATCAGAGAACATTCTGTGATTGAAATCCTTTATTGTCGATTAAGACTTGTGTTACAGGTTATGGTCTGTGTGCTGAAAGTTTCGTACGTGCTTGAAAAGAATGTGTGTTCCCCTGTGGTTGGGTGTCATGCTCTGTGAGTGTGAATCCCACAGCCAGGCAAGTGTTCTCTCTGGCTGGGAGAGGATTGTTGAAATCTCCAACTCTCGTTGTGATTTTGTCTGATTCCCCTTTCTGTTCTGTAGTTTTTGTTTTTTAAAAACATGTCTTTATTGATTTCAGAGAGAGGAAGGGAGGCTGAGAGAAACATCCATGATGAAAGTCATTAATCAGCTGCCTCCTGCACGCCCCCTGCTGGGGATCGAGCCCTAAACCCTGGGCATGTGCCCTGACTGGCAATCGAACCACGATCTCCTGGATTCTAGGTCGATGCTCAACCACTGAGCCACGCCGGCCGTGCTGTTCTGTCAGTTTTTGCTTCATGTATTTTGAAGTTCTGTTATTTGGTTCTACATATGCGTAAAGAAAAGTAACCGACTCCTTTTTCATTATGAAATTTCTTTATTCCTTGTAACAGTCTTTGTTTTGAAGTCTGCTCTGCCTGATGGTCCCGCAGCCCCCTCCCGCTGTCTGCGGGTGAGTTTTGATGGCAGCAGCTTCTTTTTCCGTTCTTTAACTTCCAGCATGTGTGTATTTTTGTATTTAGAGTGAGTTTCTTGAAGGTGGCAAATAGCTGAGTTTTACTTTTTCATCTAGTCTGACCATCTCTGCCTTTTCATTGTAAAGCTTAGGCTATTCAGATGTTTAGCATAAGAGCCTACACACCTGTTCTCCCTTCCTGCTCCTGGCCTTGGTGCGATTGTCAAGATTCTTCTACATGGGATGAGCCTCACAATATATTAGTGTTACTACTTTAGGTCAAACCATTGATTATCTTAAACACATTTTAAAATGTAAGAAAAAGTGCTACAGTCACACCACCTATTTTCCATTTCCAGTGCCCTTTATTTTTTATGTCGATGCAAATTTCCATCTGGTGTCGTTTCACATCTGCCTAGAGAACTCCCTTTAAGGTTTTTACAGTGCACGTCGGCTCTTGGCTTTTATTTCCCTGAGACTGTCTTACCTCCACTTTTGAAGGATGTTTTCGGAGGAAACAGAAGTGTAGGTTGACTTTTTCTCCCAGCACTGAAGACATTATTCCACTGTCTTCCGTCGTGTGTGATCCTGATAACAAGTTAGTGCTGACTCTTACCTGGGTTCTTTATATGAGTGGCTTTATTTGGTTTTGCGGCTTCTAAGGTTTTTTTTGAGCAACTTGACTTTTAACAGCTGAATTATGATGAATTATAATTACTGCTGTGGGTTTTTGAGCTTCTTGAGCTTCTTGGAACTGTTGATTTCTCATTTGCATCAAATCTGGAAAATTTTCAGGCAGTTCTTCAAATACGTGTTTCTGCTCTTTCTCTTTTCTGTGGGACCCCATTGACATGTATGTCTGTTAGCTTGGTCTCTTCCCACAGATCACCGAGGCCCTGAGTATTTTCTTATCTGCGTTTTTCTTTCCGTGCTTAGTTTGGATAGTTTCTGTTACTTTGTCTTCAAGTTTTTTCCCCTTTGTGTCTAATTTAATCATCGTATCCTTAGTGTGAATCATTCATCTAAGAGATTTTCTTCTCAAGAATTTCGGTTTGTTTCTTTTTTTATACCTCCTACTTGTCATATTACATTCATATTTTTCTCAATATATCTTTGAATATGTGTATTTACAGTGGCATTTTATAAACTACTGATCCTATCTGTGTCATTTCCAGGTCTAGTTCTATCTAAAAACCACTTTAGTAAGGTGTCGTTGAACTGCCAGAAGCTGTACACATTTAACATAGGATTTGCTGGTGAGGTTGGCAGGTCTTTTTCCATCGACCGGCTCTTCTCCTGGCTACAGGGCACGTTGTCCTACCTCTTCACACGTCTAGTAAGTCTGATTGGATGCCAGACAGTGTGATTTTTATGTTGTTGAATATCTGGATCTTGTTGCCTTCACTTAATAGGCGTTGAATTTTTATTTTTTTAAAATTTTGGTCAGTAGTAAAATCGTCCGTGGATCTTACCTTATCCTTTGCAGGCTTGTTTTTAAACTTTGCAAAAAACTTTTTTTTAAAGGTCCAGATAGTAAATATTAGGCTTGTGGGCCGTATTGTTTATGTTGTGATCACTCAGCTCTGCTGTCTTACGTGAAATTGTGTTTCAGTGAAGCTCTGTTGACAGAAACAGGCAGCCAACTACAGGCTGTATTTTGCTAACCTGCAGGTTAGGGTGGCCTTGACTCTAGGGTTGGTTAAGCGCTACTGCTAAGGTGTGACTCTTCTGCATTCTGTTCTGAATGCCCTGGCTGTTTAACCTGGTCTCCATTTGAGGCTGGAACTCGAATGTCGTCCGGCCTGCACATGAGCTCTGGGGATTGTGCTGCGCACAGCTGCCCAGTACCCTGCCTGGTCTTGGGCATACTCAGCCTGTGCACAGAAAACTTAGTTTTTAGCTAAGAACTCAAAAAAAAGTTCCTGTGTAGATTTCTGGATCATATTCTCTCTAAATCCTGCTTTCCAGCACCCTGCCCCCAAATTCCAGCAGCCTTGCCGTCCCTGATTCTTGACTTGTGCTGTTTGGTTTCTCTCTCTGGACTGGAGTGTGGAAGGTGCCGAGATGATTGCAGTCTTCCCCTTGTTTTTCCCCTTCTCAGGATTGCAGTGTTGTGTGCCGTCTGTCCAGTGTCTGGAAAAGTTGTTTTGTATAGTTTCTAGTTTTCTCGTTGCTCACAGTAGGAGGGCAGGATCGGTACCTGTTACTGTGTCACGGTCGGAAGTAGAAGTCTCTTTTTCTTCTTTCTCTTTAGTGCCTAAGTTTTCCTGGGCCTCTCTCCTGTGCCTTTCCTTTTGAAGGACTGTTTGACTTGCTGTTTCCAGAGCCGGGATTTGCTGATAGGACGTGAAACCTGGCGAGAGCATCTTTACTGAAGCTCAGAGTGCACTTGTCCTCCTTACACTCACTGGAGTTCAGTTTGACCTTTGACTGGACATGATAGTCTGCACGTGTTCTTGTGAAGCCAAAGTTTTGTACATGTGGCAGGACATTAACACTGGGCTGTGAAACTTGCTTCAGAAAAGGCATCTGCCTTTGGGTGGACGTTTTTGTTACTCCTGTGAACAGCGAGGCTGCGTCAGTTACAGGTGGTGGGATCGTCTTTAATTTCATATATTGTATTTTTGGTACTAGAACACCCATTTGATTCCTTTTTTGAATACATTTTTAGTTCGGTTTTGAAAAGTCTCCAGATTTGTATCCGTTTTTCATATTTTCTTCCTAATAGCTGTTTTATTTTTATATTTTTAAATGTCTTTATTGATTTCAGAGAGAGGAAGGGAGGGGGAGAGAGAGATGGAAACATCAGTGATGAGAGAGTTGTCATCGATCAGCTGCTTCCTGCACGCCCCTCGACTGGGCATCGAGCCCGCAGCCTGAGCCTGTGCCCTGACCAGGAACAAACTGTGATCTCCTGGACCCTAGGTCGATGCTCAACCACTAAGCCACACTGGCCGGGCTCTGATAGCGGTTTAAAGACCTTGTCTGCTGATGTTAACATCGGGACGTGTGTATCTGCTTCTACCGGCCAGCGTTTCTCTTGGTCATCAGTCGTGTTTTCCTGTTTCTTTCACATCATATAGTTTGTTGTCGTCTGACTTTAGAGATAGAGGAGCCTAGGGAGTGAGATTTCTGCTCCTTCCTATGGCGTTTGCTACTTGGTCCAGGCAAACTGAGCAGGGTGGAGGCAGGTTGCCCCTCACTGAGACCCAGTCCCCTCTGGTGTCAGGGTTGGTCCTGAGGGGAAGCCCTCTGGTTCCTGATTGAGAACCCAGAGATCTCTTCTGCCTCGTGAAAGGCTGCCTGGAGGGCCCTCAGCACTTTGGCTGTGTACCTTTCTCATCTCTTGTACAGAGGTAAACCTCCTTCCACAGTCAGTGCAGGTCTGGGAGAGCTGGCCCCTTCCCCGAGGATGTGATGGGAACCTTCACTTTGCCTTGCCATCACTGAGCAGCCTCTGCGTGGTCCCTGGGTTCAGTAAATAGACTGGGGTCACAGCTGCTGTGGGTGTAGGGTCCTATAGGGTTGGTGGCGGTGCTAGCTCTGTGTGGCCCTGTGGGCTGCAGGGCCTTGGCCAAGCCCAGGAGATGGATGGCCTGCCCCCTTGGCTGCTGCCTCTCCCTGGCCTTAGGGCATCCAGCATTTGTTACTCCTGTTTTCTATTGTCTTTAAAATGTGGTGTTAGCAATTTGTTGGGTTTGGGTTTTTTAACTTGTAGTAGCAGCAGCTGCTCAGAACCTGAAGGTACTCTGCCATTTCTGGGGAAGGACAGGTGCTCCCATTTGTCTCTTCCTCACCAGAGGGTCCCCTCGGAGGGGACAAGACCCCAGCTGCCTGGTGCAGTGGGAGCCTCCCTGACAGGGTGCACTGGTTGAGCTACAGAGACCTTAGTGTGACCCACATGTCTCTGCTGGCACTTGGGATGGCAGGGCTGCAGCTTTCCTGAGTCCTAATGGCATGTGCATGGTGACCGCTAACAGCTCTGAGGGAGTGTGTGGCTTCACCTTTCTGCTGGGCTGGCTGCCCCTGTGCAGGTGATAAGGGGAATCCGTGGGTGGAGACATTTGC